AAAAAATTCTAAAAAGTAAAAAAATAAAAAAAAGAGGAGAGGAGAGGAGAGGAGAGGAGAGGAGAGGAGAGGAGAGAACATTGAGCTGGCCCCATAGCATTGTGGTTAAGCACTATGTATTGGAAGCCAGATCCCACATGGCCAACTGCAGTTCAAATCATAGTCATAACAACTTCAAAACCACACTAGACACATATACATACATGTCCAAAATCCTGACATGATGTAGAATGAAGGAAAAAGATTTGTGACATGATCATGTCCCATTAGGAGGTGCTCGCTCGCTCACTCGCTCTCACTCTCGCTCTCTCTCTCTCTCTCTCTCTCCCCCTTTTGCTCAATCTCCTGTAAGAGCACATACCCTCTGGCTTTAAAAAACTAAAAAGAAAAAGAAAATAAGAAGAATGTTAACATCCTCTATGACTGTGAAGAATGAACCTTTAGCACTTCCAGCGTCATAAAGTTCAGAGCAAAGGTGCATATGGCCCCACAGTAGCAAGCACTACTTCACACAAGGCCATGCTGAGTGCTGTGCTAAGAAATGGGGTACAATGCAGACACTCCATCTCTAAAGCCCAGGCACTGTCCCTCTTACCAGTGATTTTCTTTCCTTTTTTTTTTTAAAAAAAAAAGGTTTTGTGTTAGGGAGCGTGCGCTCGCTGAAGAGAGAGACAGACAGAGACAGCAAGAGGGATAGATAGAAATCACCCAGAGAGGGAATGCTGCAATCCCTTCTCCTTCATTCTCTTCTTGACATTTTGGGAATGCATGCACACATGTCCAACATGATTTTCTTTCTTTTTTTGGAGAGGTTTGTTTGCTTGTTTATTTGTTAGTTTATTTATTGCTATAGGGCATGTGCGCTTGCCAGGACAGAGAGACGAAAGCGAGAAATCACCCCCAGGGGGGATAGCCACGTTGCAATCCCTCCATTCTCCTCTCAGGATCTTGGGCATGCATACACACGCACCTGGCATGAGTTTAAGCCACCGGGTCCAGGACTTGAACCACGGTCGACTATATGGGAGTCCAGCAACATAGCCATTACACTAACTACTGGTCCCACCCAGCATGATTTTTGTTTTGGAGAGGTTTTTGCTATAGGGCACATGCGCTTGACATAGAGACAGAAAGCGAGAATCACCCCCCTAAGGGGGGATGGCCACGCCGCAATCCCTTCTCCTCTCAGGATCTTGGGCACACACGCACACGCACCCAGCGTGAGTTTAAGCCACTGGGTCCAGGACTCGAACCGCGATCAACTACATGAGAGTCCGGTGACACAGCCATTATGCTAACTGCTGGTCCCCCCCAGCATGATTTTCGAGCAGCTGGGTCCAGGATTTGAACAGCAGTTGACCATGTGGGAGTCCAGCAACATAACTGCCACACCACCTCCTGGCCCTACCAGGTATTTTCAAGTATATTCAGAGTTCTAATGGAGAGTCTCCTAATGGAGTCTAGAAAGGTGCTACAGGTATAATCACGGGAGCAAGAAGGAGGTGGAGAACAAAATATTCCCACTAAGAACTCAAACTATAGCTATTTATTTAGATTTATGTTTTAAAGTTTTGCAAAGATATGTCAATAGAATGTAGAGTGTGCAAATGCATTTGTGCGTGATTATTTAATATTCGTTTATTCCCATCCCTACCTCCTAGGAGACTGTAAGCTTCTGTTCAGTAACACGGACCCACAGCCTAACACATGCCTGGCACACGGTTAGCACACAATAAATATTTGCTCACTCAATGAAAGTGGCAACAGTCAGAGAAGAGCTGCTGGAGTAATCCAAACACTTGGTGATGGGCAGAGATTAGTCTTCTTTTTTTTTTTTTTTTTTTTTTTTTTTTTTTTTTGAGAGGTTTTTCCTATAGGGCATGTGCGCTTGCCAGGAAGACAAAGAGAGACAGAAAATGTGAAATCACCCCCCAGTAGGGATGACCATGCCACAATCCCTTCTCCTCCATTCTCCTCTCAGGATCTTGGGCACGCACACACACTGCCTGCCATGAGTTCAAGCCACTGGGTCCAGGACTTGAACGGCAGTCAACTATACATGGGAGTCCAGCGACATAGCCATTATGCCAACTGCTTGTCCCAGAGATTACAGTCATTTTAAACGGACTGGTGAGAAGGGGGAGATACAAGAACAATCTCAATAAATGACTTTAATTTGATCACTGCTTAAACTTAAAGAGCCAAGCAGAAAGATGTAAAAGAAAGACTCTTTCAAAGTTTCAGCTCTACAAAGCAACCGCTAGAGGAGGTGATAAAGCTGTGAGCCAAAGGCTCAGGGAGAAAGGACAGTTTGGATAGGAAAGCAGAATTGGATCCCTTATGTGCTGGATCTTACCACCAGAGAAAATGTACAGTTGGAGATATGGGGCCATACTCAGGGAAGGATGAGGCTAGATAACCAGATTTATACCTTTAAAAACAGACAAATATGAAGTAGAAACATACCACGGGCCTTGCATCAAATACTTATGGCTGATGCTCTGTCGCAGAACTTCCTTGTGGAAAAGTTGGCAGGAAAGGAAAACAACCAATGTTGTTATAGCTTCTACTGATATTTCATATGTAATATCTCTGGAAAAATGAGAAAGAAAACAAAATAATGATCACTTTGGGAGATTACGATATTACTCTTTCCTAAATTAACTGTTCAGTCGAAACTCTAAACATTCAACATATTTTCAACACGTTTTAGGTGATTAACATAATACTGACATGTTGGGGTCAACAGGTGACACAGTGGTTAGGGCGCTGGACTCCCACATGGTCGACTGCAGTCCAAGTCCCAGACCGGCAGCTTGAAAATCACTCCAGGCATGTGCATATGCATGCCCCAAATCCCAAGAGGAGAATGGAGGAGAAGGGACTGAGGCATGGACATGGCCCCTGGTAGGTGATTTCTCACTTTCTCTCTCTCTTTCTCTCTTTGTCTCTCTCCAACAAGTGCATGTGTCTTATGGCAAAAACCTAAAAAAATAAAAATACATGTTTATGTTTAACATAAAAATTAAGTCAAGTAAAAATAATCAACCCTATCTCAGTAATCAGCTCTTGTATTTGAGTCAGGTATCTCCCTATTTCCCATTTCCCAGTTCCCTTCTATGACATGAGCGAGTCTACTAGCGTACAATGGAAACAGTTGCCACAGTGTTCTGCTTTGAAGAGTCACTTTAGACCTCTACATTCATCCCTGTGTACTAATACAGAAACAAATACTCAAATTACAAAACTAGAGAGCAGTCACAGCACATGGAAGAACACAATGCCTTCTGAAGTTGGTAAGCGCTTCACAATCAGAACAGTGATACACCCTAGAATCTTTTGTCTCTAGCGCCCACTTTCTCACGGCCAACTCTGCAAGTTCAGCAAAACATTAAGAGTAAACAAATTATTCCTGTTTTATTAAGCATATTTCTATTATGAAGGACTACCCTGTCTCTCAAGATCATTAATCCCTTTGAGAAACAAATCTTAGATCAAATAAAAAGTTTCAGCTGACTAGGGAGTACAAACAGGAATAAATTCATCAAGAAATCTTCAGTGACTGCAGAAGTTTAAACAGGATTACCAAAAGCACAGTGGCATGTTAAAACCATAAAGTGGAAAGCTCAACAACACGGCAAAACGAGTGCTCTAAGAGAATATCAAAATATTTTTATAAAACTAAAATATTGACGAAGAGTCCAAAAAAAAGTACTTAACGCCTACTTAAATAAAGGCTCATTAAATAAATTAAAAATGACTTGACTCTACAACTGAACAAGCCTAAATTCTACCCAATACTGTAAGGGGTTATTACTCTTAGAAACAGGCTTAAAATATAAAGTATATAAAGCAGAACGCAAGATGCCCATGCAATTGACCTTACTGTGTAATTAATTAATTTCAGTTCTATTCAGAAATATGACTTTCATTTCATTGCCAGAGGGCATGTACACACACAAGAGTGAGAAAGAAAGCACAGTCCTATGGGTGGGTATGCTGCAATCCTTTTTCTCCATTTCGTCTTCCCATTAGGATTTTGGCCATGAATATACATGCACCAATGTGTTTTCAAACCATCAGAGACGACATCTGTCTCACAGCAAGCCATGTGGATCTGGTTCCCAGGGCACAAAGCTTAGCCACTGTGCTGTGGGACAACTCCAGAAATAATGACATTTTCTTTTTAAGTTTGTTTTTGTTTTTGTTTTTGTCATAGGGTGCATGCGCTCACTGGAGAGAAAGAGAGACGGAAAGTGAGAAATAACCTCCCGGGGGGAAAGCCACACTGCAATCTCTTCTACTTCATTATCCTCCTGGGATTTTGGGCATACACACACACACACACACACACACACACACACACACACACAGCATGTTTTAAGCCACCAGATCTGGGATTCAAACCATGGTCAGCCATGTGAGAGACCAGCGCCTTAAGCACAACGCCTTCTGCTGGCCCTGGAAATCTGACTTTTAAAGTACTGTAGAATAATTCTCTTTCCTGACATTTCCACAATTACTGTTGTAAATATTAAACACATAAGAAGCGATTCTTACATTTATTCTTATTTCTTCAACTGAATAAAAGACAAACCTAAGATTTCATGTCATTTTATAACTCATTAATGATTATTTGGGTGCTCAGAACCCGAAACATTTTACATTACCATAATCATTGAGTCATATAAGAAATCTTCAAAAAGTTCATAGAAAGTGCGTATTATGAAATGAATTATGCATGGAGTTCAAAAAACTTTTCACAGCAAAATAAACTCATACTTTAATTCCATTTGTCCATGAACTTTCTTGAAGTCTCCTTGCATGAATGAATGCTCATGCATATTGAGAATCTACATTCTGTACTCAATTGGCTAGGCTTTTTGGTTGAGTAAGGGTTATTTGTTTTGTTTAGTTTTAGCCAGAGGAGTATGCACTCACCACAGACAGACAGAGAAAGGAAAAGTGAGAAACACTCCCCATAAGGCATGATCATGTCACAATCCCTTCTCCTCCATCTCTCCTTCCTTTCAGGACTTTGGATACATGTGTGAGCATGTGCATGTGCACTCTCCCAGAGTGATTCTCAAGTGGTCAGGTCCAGGACTCGAACCACACAGTCAACCATGTGGGATCTAACCACTTTAACCACCATACCACGGCTGGTCAGGTTTTAAAGCCATATTCTGAAAATAACAAGTGCTCTGCCAGAGAAGTGAACCTATCTGTCTTCACAAGTAGGTAAGTAACTACCTCTAATGCCTTTGCAAATGGACTTAGTCAATGCATCAATAATAAAGAACCTGGGACCAGCAGATGGCATAATGGTTACACTGGACTCCCACATGGTCAACTGTAGTTCGAGTCCCAGACCTAGTAGCTTAAAACTCGGGCTGGGCGCGTGTGCATGCGTGCCCAAAATCCCAAGAGGAGACTGGAGGAGAAGAGATTACAGCATGGTCATCCTCCTGAGGTGTGGGGGTGATTTCTTGCTTACTCTCTCTGTGTCTCTCTCTGTCTCTCCAGCAAGGGCATGCACCCTATAGCCAAAACAATTTCAAAAAAAAAAGAATCAATTGCAGTAGTTTACAATTTACCATCTCATTCTATATTCCAGATCCAGATCCAGAAACAAATTAAAAGTATGACTACTAATAAATATTAGCTCTAACAACCTTGGAGAAAGAATGTATACTTGGAGGATTATCCTTCAAAATTAATAGGGTCACACAAACTCACAAATGGGAGAATGGAACAAGTGTTAACCCTAGATCACCCTCTTTTAACACAAAATTCTGTAAACCCTAAAGAGTAAGAGTTGAGGGTTTAACGCTGGGAGGTAGAAAAAGTTTACAACACATAAGAATATTGAATCAACATGACCGTGAGTTTTATATCAAGCTAAAACTCCAGTTCCCTAAGTTCCTAAACAGAGCTAAGTGATCCCTCCTTCCACAGACCCAAAAATACAATTTGTATCAAACAGTTTATCACACTGCATTTCAGCATACATACCTATCATTCAATCAATATTTATAAAGAGTTTATTCTTCCCATGTCTAGACTAGCATTATGCCACCTACTAGCAACACATCCATCAACAAAGGGATAAGGTTCTTGCCTTTGTGGAGCTCACAGTTTAGTGAAGAAGAGAGAAATCAAAAATTACTCCAGGGGCCAGCAGGCAGCACAGTGGTTGAGGCGCTGGACTCCCACGTGGCCAACCATGGTTCAAGTGCCAGGCCCAGATCAGGTGCATGTGCATGAATGCTCAAAATCTCGAGAGGAGAATGGAGGAAAAGGAATTGCATCGTGGCCATCTCCCCTGGTGGTGGGAATGGGGAGGGGGAGGTGTCTCATTTTCTTTTTCTCTTGTCTCTTTGGCAAATGCATGTGCACCATAGCAAAAAAAAAAAAAAAAAAAAAAAAAAATCTCCCTTTAAAAAAAAATAAAAAATCATTACTCCAGAAAAGGCACTAAGAAAAAAGAACAAGTAACAAGACAGGATCATCGGGGACTCTGATTTGAAGGAATGAAGAGAAAGCTCCTCTGAACAAGTGACATTTAAGGCCAGCCATGGTGGTGCAGGCAGTATGGTGCCACTGTATAATACTGGAGCCATATGAGAAGGCCTAGGTTTGGAACCCAGGTAAACTAGAATATGCTGAGCATACCCATGGAGGTGGGAGTGATCCTGGCTGGCTAGAAGACTAGGGGGAGAATCATGGCGTGAGAAGACCCTGTGAGACATCTCTGTCTCTGTTAATCTGTCTTTCTCTTTTAATATATAAACAAACTTGAAAAAATAAAAGAGACATTTAAGTTAAGACCTAGAATATGAATGGCAGTTACTGGCAGACAAGCCTTTCTTTCTTATTACAATACAGTTCTCCTTAGTAGCACTAAACAACAACAGTAGGCTATCAAGACAACATTTTGCAAGATTGTAAGAATAGCTACAACATTTAAGAACTAACCAAGAATTTATAGGACATCAGGGTGGGCAGGTAGCATGGTGGTTAAGGCACTGGATTCCCACGTGGTCAACCATGGTTCAAGTCTCAGACCTAATGGTTTGTTTTCTCACATTCTCTTTCTTTCTTTTTTTTTTTTTTTCTCTCTCTGGTCAAATTTAAAGTAGTAATAATAATTATTATTTTAACTAAATAATTCTTTAAAAAAGTAACTTACAGGACCTCTATGAAGAAAACACTAAACACTAATGAAGGTCACAGAGAATGATCTGAATAGAATGACTTAATACTATGAAGATAACAAGTCTATCCAAATTCATCTATGAACTAAATGCAATCACGACCAAAATTCTTACTGAATTTTTATGAGAAATTTCATACATAGGCTAAAATTTTTATGAAACAATAAACACATAGCTAAGTCAATCCTGAAAATGAATAGCAAGGGGATGAGCAGATGGAGTCAATGGACTCCCACATGGCCGACTACAGTCTGATTCCCAGAACCAGTGGCTTGAAAATCACGCCGAGTGCATGCATATCCAAGATCCTAGAAGGAGAATGGAGGAAAAGGGATTTTGGTGTGGCTATTCCCCCAGGAGTGTGATTTCCCTTTC